TAGATACTACAATTATATATATATATATATATATAATTTTTTTTTTTTTAACAATGATTTTAACAATGTCTTTTAATGTATTGTAAATTATCATATATTTAGAAGTTCTCTTTTTTATCGATTTTTCTCTTCAACGACTATTAAAAATTTAATAATAAATATATAGAATATTTTATATCTTTTGTTAAAATTCCTACGATTTTGATATCTTAAACTGATTGTGTAACTAATCTCAATTTTTATATTAATTTAAGAGTTTAAATTATATAAAAAAATATTTTCAATATTTTTAATTTCTTGTACTTTGTAAACAAAAGAATAGTATTTGATTGAACCATTTGCAATTGGATACAGACACGCAACCGATACTTAGAGATTTTCTACTGGATCAACCAATCAAAAAATTGTATTTTAAATTGGCCAATCGGGCGCCACCTATGTATTCTATGTATTTTAAATAGGGACGCCTAATTGTCCACATTGCCGATTGGTTAATTTAAAATAAATTGTTTTGATTGGTTGGTCCAGAAAATCTTCAGGCATTGGTCTGTACAGCCTTCTATAATACTAGAAATTGATCCGAATCTTGGAAAGAGAATTGGAAATGGGATGAAAAGTTACAAGTAAAGAAATTTACTAGTCTTCCACATATGAAGTTACAGATGCTCTGTGTGAATTTCCTTATTTTTGTAATTTTCAACTCAGTTTAAGATATTATTAACTTATACCTTCAATTCTATACACAGATCGTAAAACAATATTAGGGAATAATGCATGGATCACATTGATCAATAAAAGAACATTTTGTTTTCCCGAAAATAATAGATATGTAACTATATTCAAAAACTGTTAATGTATGTTCTAATGTGTAATGCACGATGTAATGCATGATGTTTCCTGTGTGCAAGAGCCATAACTTAAAAAAGACGAATAAATGGAGGAACATGATTTCATAATATATCAGTTTGAAATATCTGTAATCTGAAATATCTGTAACTAATATTTTTTAGACAAAATCCATCATTCTAATAAATATCTACTCTAATTCTGTCTTACAGTCCCATGATGAGGCAGGATTTTACTGACATGAGGAACAGGAAACAAAAAAAAAGATTTAATTTATAACATTGTATGTTACTCTTGTTATGTTTTAAAAATCTGTTTTTTGAAGTTGAACTAACGCATGTACTCGTAAGTAAGAAATGAAATATATGTTTTAAACTTGACTGGAAAGAGGAAGATTTCAGTGCAGCTCAGGCAAGTAAAAAAAAAATGGACTTGATGTATTCACTCACTTGTTTGATAGAACTTAATTGAGAAATTTATGAGAAACAGTTACAATCATTATCAATTAATCATTCAGAAGTTGAAATCGAACAACACATTAGCTGCATAGAATATACAATATATACTTATTTACACAACAATGGTGGCACTAAACAATCGACTTTGCAGGTTATGTTTATACTAACCTTTCGTAAAATCCAGTCTTCAATGAAAAACTGTTTGAAATGTTATTATCAAATTATATAATTGATTAAAATCATATGTTATAGAATAAAGCTAATTGATACACAGTTATAAAAACATGAAGTTAAGTCTTGTAATTTTTTTTTTTTTTTTCAAAACAAATTCATGTTACACGATCCATTTTTTTGTTGTTCTCTATTGAATTTATTTTGTGACTTCTGTTGAACTTTAAATTTGTATTATAAATATTTTGATACTGTAAATTATATCGATTTTGAAACACTACTTGTGTAGGCCGAGATTTTTTCTCACTATAATTATTTTAGCTATTTTTAGCCTATTTTGTGCGATTTAGAATTTGAAATAACAATAGACGCATTATACGTTACAATAAATTAGAAATTATTAAGAAAGCAAATACAAATTATTAATAAAGTAATATTCTGATCAATTATTGGATATTGAATAAAAGAACAGTCTTACAAATATAACACAATTTAATTTACATAATATACAGATGAGTTTTATTACAAATCTCCACAAATCTTCATGAATCACAATTGTAGCATCGCTCGCAATTTATAATTGAACAATCTTTAATCAATAATATCAATCTCCGATGCATAGTCTGGATACAAACTTTGCGCACTTGGTACAAGAAAGTGCTTTTAATTATTAAATTGTTATTCTTATCCGAACGAAGTTCGGATATTTTTCAGCAAGAGATACAAATAACATAGTGCAATACACAGGATGAATTGTTTCATTCTTATTGTCTGTCGAATATTAAAAATGAAATGATTCATTATGCTGCATTGTGTCATTTATATCTCTTGCTAAAAAATGTCCTCTGTGAGACGAAAAAAAAATCGTGACGAAAATCGCTGTAGAGAAATAACTTCAAATGCATTATATAAATAGCATATATTTTATCTTCCTCTTACAACGCATAATTATGTGTTTACATATATATGAAAAAGTGGGATAAGAGGAATCTTTTTCCTTTGAGGATTAATTATCTGAATTATTTAAAATAAATAGTTGAAATTTCACATTTCCATCGATTTATAGAATAAAATTCACGAAGTCAACTAAAAATTTTAATGTACAAAGTTGTAAAAGCAAAACGTATAAAATTTATTAAAAATGATTTATTTAAAAATGTAACAATATCTCAGTAAAATTTGCTAATAGCATCTAAAAAAATTATTTATAGAATTATAAATTTTGCTTTTATTTTTTCTGAACTATTATATAAGTGACATTATCTTTTATTATTAATGTATAAATTTAGTATTTATTATTTAATTTAAACATTATACAAATCTGTAAAAAAATATATATAAGCAGAATTAAATGCATTGTGTGCCAATTTAATCACTTAAAAAATTTGTAAAATTTAAGTTTATTAATCGAGACTTCACAATACAATGTAGCTTTTGCAGTTAAAAAAAATAAAAAAATAAATTTTAAATTTGACAAATATATCACATCTTTAATGAGATCTAACAACTAAGTCTTACCCCACTTTTTGCACATATTTTGTTTTTTTTTTATGTATACACAAATATATTTATTTTTATTTTTTCTGACGCGCATGTACATATACATACATATATATATAAAAATATATATATTTTAATTCTTTTCTTGTTTTTATCCTTGTGTAATGGAATGAAGAATTTAAAATATGAGACACATGTACCATTAAATTTTCAATGTTAACTAACAACTACATTGTATTCCAGACTGATTTCAAAAAATTGGCTCTATTTCCTGTATCACAATAGCATTTGAAATTTTTACATCTGATTACAATGTTTTAGATCTTATTATAATGCAAGGAAGCGTGCATATTTTATTAAAATATTATTTAATTAATTTTAGATTGACACATTGTAAAAATCCATGCACACATATTCAATATCTACTTGTCCTTTGTCGATGTCATATTCGAAACTTATATTTAGATTGAAGATATGATGAGATATTTGAGTTAGAGTTACATATTTGAAATATAGAGAAGCAAAATTTACAAAGAATTCAGAAAAGAATGTTTCAAAGTATGTATGATTGGTCGTTTTGTTAAACTTTAATATATATTTTAATACAACATCTAAAATAGTTATCTTAGGCCATTCATGCCAATGTTTTTTACAGAACTGAACATTAGCCAAAATAAATCGTACTAATATTTCTAACCAATTATACTTTGACAATAAATATACATATCTTAAGAAATGAAAAAATAAAGTATGAGCATATTCGAGATAAAATCCAAGTAGATATAGAAATCACTTTGGCCTTCGAAAATATATCTCATTAGCCAGCACGATTTGAATCGCTTAATATATAACTTACTAATATATAACTCGATATACTTTTACATTTCTAAGCAGAGATCTAGACCAAAATAATATTTTAATTTATTTATGATTTTGATCTAAAAAGATATTTAATAAGATATTCTGATTTCTTGGTCAATGAATACCGAATGAAGACCGAAACTATTTGAAATGTGATTCTTTTTAAATTTTAATTACGATTTCTTCAAAATTTTTTTCCTGCAACTTTTATTATTTTACCTTTTTTAATAGAAACTAAGTATACAATATATTCAGTGTTTAAAAAAATAAAATATCAAAATAATCTAAGATAATACAAACTTTTTCACATTTTATTTTTCCTAATTTATCATGACAGATTTAAATACGTTTGTCTTTCTATTCTATTTTGAAATTACATTTTTAAAATTATTTGAAATATATTTTGAGTCCGTTTCTCATATTCTTTCTACATTAAAATCTCATAAAAGCCTTAAAAAGTAAAAAATATTAAATCATTTCTCATTTATATTTCTTAATTGCAATCCGTGTTTTTAAAAATATTGTTTTTTGTATGAAACTTTTTTATAATAAACATGTAATTTATAACATGTAATTTTATATTCTATAAAAATTCTTTTCTTTAATTTTTGATAAAATATTTAATTTCAAAATAAGTTGTAAATAAAAATTAATCAATTATGTAATTACATTATAAAATACAAAAATTGATATTTTTTTATGATTTTAGTTCAATTAAAAACACAAATATAAAGAATGGAAATTGCAGTTCAGATTTTGATTCATTCTAGATCTCTGTAAAGCTTATACAATATTAACATATTCTACATTAACAATATATGTACATATATAATATATTTGTTGTTTTTTTACAGATTTTTCAACAAGAGATGTATTAACATGTTGTCAGACCCATAATAAAAGCAGACTGCACATTCCAATTACTTGTGCACCTCTTTCCTTTAGATAGAAAAAGAAACTTTAATCAGACTTGTTTTCTTTCTCTTTCTGCTATAACGATTTTGAACTATATTTACATGCTCCTCTTTCTCCTCTAGCAACTGATCGTATTAGAAAAAGCACATTATTATTTATACAATTGGGAATAAAAACGTTGTCCCATTTTAGTTATATGATTTAAATTATACTATTAAATCCATAAATTTTTCGTTCTCCTCCAATGGTCGACGAATTGTTAGTCAATTGTTGAAAAAGATGAGAATGATTTATACATTTAAATCAGCCGTACTTGTGTTCTTTGTTATATACATTATCTATAGTTGAAATAACCAGTTCACTTATGTTGTAAATCTGGCCAGTCAGGATGGTCATTCTTCAATTTTTGTCATATGTCTAATCTATCGACAAATCGTTCAGGAAAGTTAAAAAATTGATTCTCTTTCTGAATGTAAGTATCGGGCAATTTGTCAGTCATATTTGGTACAGAAGTTGTTTTTCTTATTTTCGGTGTTTTCTGATAAAGTTTGGCCAGTATATTCCAAATTTCTAAAAATTCTGGTCGATCTTCCCTCTCAAAAGCAATACATCTTTTTAAAAGTTTTTGGAGTGTATTAGGAATATCAGGACGTATTTTCGTTAAATCAGGACGCAGGTCACCCTTTCCTACCATAAACATAATCTGATCTTTACCGTAACCTTTATCACGATACGGTAATTTACTAGTACATAATTCATACATTACTATGCCATATGAATAAACGTCAGATTTAAAACTATATGGAAATGGTTCACGCATTCTGATGACTTCAGGTGCCATCCAAAGCACAGAACCAGCTGGCTGACGAGTCTGTCCAATCATCTCTACGTCTATTTTTCAATGCTGCGAGACCAAAA